CACAATCTGACAAGTTTTCTTGATTTGAGGTTATGTATTATACTTTTCATATGTTTCAGTGACTGGAACAATCTTAATACCAGGTAATTTTACAGGAAATGCAGCTTTTAAGAATGAAACAGCATATTCTGCCCTGTTTGATATAAATTTATGCTTTCAGTAATTGTTAGAAAAAACTTGTTGAAGGCATTAGCCACTTTTCCAGGATCCTTTACTTTTTCATTGTTTATTAGAAGAGATGGCATCTGTTCTGATAAATGTATTTTTCCTGTCTCCCTTTTTATTATATTCCACGTTGTTTTTATTTTATTGTCTGATTTTGCTATAAGTCTACTGTAATGCTGCTTTTTAGCATCTTTTATAACATTGTTCAGAATTTTACAATACTTAACATAAAATGCTCTTGCGTTTGGGTCATCACTGTTCCTACTGTAGATAAACATACTCCTTCTATGCTTCCAAGATACTTTTATTCCTTGCGTAATCCAGTCATTCTTTATTGTACTTTCATATGTAATAGGAAAATAGGAAAACTAGCTTCAAAAATATTTATAAAAGAACTGAAAAATGAGTTAAACTTTTTGTTGAGCTTCAAAAATATTTATAAAAGAATTCAAAAATGAGTTAAACTTTTTGTTGGTATCATTGACTTCATAAACAGATTCCAATGTTTCATTCTTCAGAAGAAGCTGAAACTGCATGATTGTTTCATTATTGACTTTTATTTTCTTCTGCTACAAAGGTATCAAGTTAGTATCTGCAACAATATTATTAATCTTAATGTGCTGGACATCGTGGTCTGAAGACCATTTATTATGGAAGGAGAAGAAGTTGAGCTAAGTCTTGTTCTATCCACAATCCATGTAGCGGGTGTGAGGATAAGACAATCGAAGAAGTATAAACAACCAAATTTCTTAACCTACAAATTGACAGTAACTTAAAGTTGGAAAAACATATTCATTACATTATCCCTAATCTTTGCCAGCATGCTTCTACTTAAATTGTTCTTTGCAGTAGGAGGAGTGAGACAGGAGATGCTATTTTTAGATGATACAGATACAATCTTCACGTGCAAACACTAACCTTAGCAAATACCAAAAAGGTGTTTACTGTATTGTAACTAATCTATTCAGAAATCTTAAAACCTTGCATAATGTGTAGTGTATTTAAATATAAAGTATGTATACAAACAAAACTGTTTACATACTTTCTATTCAGAAATTTTCCCCTATAGAAAGTCTGAATCATGGTACAAGAAGTTGAAGCATCTCCTATCTCAAGCCTACTCCATAGAAAAATTTATTTCAACCAACAATTCTCAGCTGTTACAAACACATGTAAGCAAACGTGGTTATTTTTCTAGTGTAATTATTTTGATGGTAATGTTGTAATTGACTCCAAATTACTGTCATAACTATGTAATTTATATTTGTATTAGAAACAAGTATTCTGTTTGTGCTATGACATTTTCTACATCCTTGGCCCAGACCTATGAAGGATCTATGGAATGTAAATAAATTATATTCTGTTATGATGTACCTCTGTAACCAGAAACCATCCTTCCAATTCTGCTTCCTCTGTAACCGGAACTTGCTGTCTGATTACGGCATCTCCCAACATATGGGTTGAATCGTCGAGAACGTTTTTCACTTTCTGGTGTGCTCATCTCAACATCGTCTTGACAGATAATGGAACAGGGAGCCACTTTCAAAACTGAATTTGTACGCCTTTCATTGTGGTTACGCTCTGAATTAAAACGTCCTCTTCGCATGACCTTAAGATTCACAGGCAAATCTTGTGTAGAAACGGATGTGCGTACCGATCGTGCTGGTCGTTTCGAATTCCACATTCTTTTAAGGTTATTGCAGTTCTGTATTATAATAATAAAGTTTTCAAACTTTATTTCTTCAAAATGCAGAAAATATTTTAGGAGCGTCACTGTCAAACACCAGATCCTCCAACACACGCAATCAGACTGTTTCTTTATACGATAAACAACAATCACCAAGCAATAGCATTGCGCAACAATGAAGAAACGATTGTAAGAAGCTGATTGTTGCGCAATCTGCGTAGATGCGACCTTGAGGCGGAAAGAAAGAATTTGGACATGAGTAGTTCTCATTAATCGTTGGCATCTGTAGGGGTTCACTAACATCAGGCTTGATCGGTGGTGACAGTTCAACTCCGTCAAGCTTCAACAGTTTTGGAAACCTCTTCTTCACGTCACGTATATATGCGTTGTGGTCTTGATATTTGTCTCGGAGAGGATTTCCATTCAGCATTAGGTCTTCTAGGGGCAGGCTCTCTAAACAGTCCAGTTGTTGCAAATCCTGTATCCTGTTTCTTCCAATGCGAAGGACTTTGAGCTTAGGTAATTTGATAGAAAGAACACTGAGGTCATGAAGCGAGTGCAGTTTGTTGTCTGACAAATAAAGTGCTTCCAGGTCATGAACACACTCCACAATGATATCCAGTACTACCAACATCACTGCGGGTATGAACAATGGTAAAGCGTAATTGTCAATTAGATCTGGATCTGTGTGGAAGTGCGTCAGGTCTAGGGCTTTTAGGTTAACATCGTAACGCTTAGCCACCACTGTCCTTATTTTGTCCTTTGCTGCAGAATCAATCACCACATATGGTAATCCAGGCCTCACTAATACCAACAGCATATATCCAGTCATAGTTGTAATTTTCGTGTTAAAACTGGCCAACGTTTCTGCAACTTTGAAATCGTCAACAAAAAATGAAGAATCTGTTCCTCGAACTTTGTAACTTAATGGAATGAATACTGTTGGTGCAATCTTGGCCATTAATGTATTCACTATGTAGTCCTTGCTGTATTTGCCTCCATATGGAATTGTTATGTTGAACCATAATGCATCCATTTCCAGACGTCTTTTTTGTCTGACCTGTGATGGTGTATTATCTGAAAAGAGTAGATTGAAGTATTAGTAATAACACCTATTCATATTGGGGGATTATAAAGCATGGAGCTCCTCAGGGTACAATATACTTGGTCCTCTGCTTTTCCCCGTACATATCAATGATTTACCACTAACCATAACCCTCACTCTAAACCCATACTTTTCTCAGATGATACTAATATTATTGTTTCACATAAAGAAATTGACTGTTTCTAAATTCTGCAGGAATTATGTCTTTGCTAGGTTGAATAAGTGGATTGCAAACAATAAACTCACATTAAATTTTGACAAAATAAATTTCTAGTGTAATTATTTTGATGGTAATGTTGTAATTGACTCCAAATTACTGTCATAACTATGTAATTTATATTTGTATTAGAAACAAGTATTCTGTTTGTGCTATGACATTTTCTACATCCTTGGCCCAGACCTATGAAGGATCTATGAAATGTAAATAAATTATATTCTGTTATGATGTACCTCTGTAACCAGAAACCACTTGGGCGCAGAACTTTTCAATCATTCAGAAGTCACTCAGTTGCAGGAGTGTGAAAACTTTACATTTTGGATTGCTGCTTATTCATCTGCTCACTAGTGAGAGAAGTCTTTAACAAATCATGTCGGTGGTAGCAGCAAAATTAAATGTTCCATATCCAAAGATAATATTTATGTTGCGATTGGGCAAAATATTGTCAATAATTAATTCATTGCGTATTGCTTGTTGTATGGGGCATATTTTTATGTACATATCTATAAGTGTTTGTACTCCTTACTTCAGGTAAACGCCAAATTATATCCCTATTATAACTATTTTTGTATATTGAAAATGGTTAAGAAATGATGCTGAACTCTCGTGGTCATAATACGAGATTAATGTTGAAAGAGTTCTCAATACTTCCCATTAATTTAAAAATTATAAGTAGTGAGAAAACTTGTCATTACAATGACAAACATTATTTAGTGACACGTCCTGTATGAGAGTTAAAAAAGGAAGTTCGACAGCAGTTTTTGCATTTGTAATATCTTTGGGAGACAAGCGCTGAACGGTTTAATTTCTCTGTGGTTACAGATGACTGAATTGGACATTTCAAAAGTCATTTTATTACATTCATTTAACTTTTTTCTGCATTCATTGTGGAATTTCTTCACTTGTGGGAGGAACCAGACTGACATCCAGCATCAAAGTGCCAAGAAGAGTGACATTGATCATGATTTCCAGTGAAATTCATGTTTAGTAGTTATGCTTCAAATAATTCAGAACTAGTTTAATTTTAAATTAGGCTTTCCTTTATTTCACAAAAGGGAGCTCCACAGAGTGAAATTCAGCAGACTAAAATAATATGCAGTATTTTTTATTGATGTGAAGTTCGTTTTACTCGTGTAGAAAAAGTTCAGGATTCTGCCATCTCCTTTGAAGGGCTGCCATCTTGGTTTGTAACAGTGGAATTCATACTGCTATGGTATTTTAATCACAACGTCATATATTGTTTTCATTGTTATTGATACATTGCAAAATATACAGATTCCAAAATATTGAAATTTGAGAAGCAGGAGAAAAATATGATTTCATGTTATTGTCTGATAATTTAGAAGTATAATCACACATCCACATGCAGATTTCAGTGGATGACGATGTCTTCTGGCACAAAAGTGATGGTTTTTTGAGATGCAGTTCATCATTTTAATAAGGCAAGTTGAATTGTCTTTAGAAGCCTAATTCTGAACATTAACCCCTTGCTGTTCTATATAAATGCACTGTACCCTGGCTTTAATAAAATGTCCTTTTTGGCATTACGTTTCAGTGTGTTACATGGAGTAGCAAGAGATGTTTTATTTTGCTACAATCTACTGTAATAGGAGTTTGATAATTCCCACCATTTTACTATAATTAGATTCCTTGAAGAGTGTGTACACTGTGTGTATTTTGTAGCACTGCATTTCAGCATTTTTAATATCATGATTTTATGTTTTGGGTTTTCAGAAGGTTGAATTTACTGGAATCAAAGAAAAAGGCTTGAAAAATGCAGTGACAGAAGTCCATGAAACAGTCATGCTTGAAAATGAGGTTAATTGACTTTGAAAATATTTTGTTGCAAAGAATTATGAAAAACATTCTTTATGGGTAAATATCATTTAGCAGTAGCACCAATTTTGAAAAAAAAGATATTGAATAATTTTATTTTATTGATTTGTTAAATTTAATCAGTGTGGGGTGAAGTGTAACAAAGCCCCCACTTTATTTGTTATGCTTTATATTTGTTGCAATTGTTATTGTGGTATTTTGTTGGAATATCAAATTTGTTAAAATAAAGTCAAAATGAGAAGAGTACTGAAATGTTGTAAATATTTTAATTTATATTGTCTGCTCTTTTTGTTATTAGTTTATAAAGGTATTTTTTCTAAAAGTGAGTCAAAATGTAGATTATGTTTTAAAGCCAATCCAAATGCTACTGTCAAGGAAGATGCTGAATTAATAAAAATTACTTTAGAAATTAATTTTACTGCAGGAAGGCAAACACTTAATTATATTAAATTTTGTATACACAAGAAAGTGTGAGTTTTCATCACTGTATATGTTACTTTAAAGAAATTGATATAGAAAATTTAATTCGAAGTCTTTTAAAGAATATTCTCGGTCATTAATTTTCAGCTCAGATGCTAAATATACCATCATAACACAATTAACTATGTTTGTACTAATGTTTGCAATTCCTAGCTACCAAATTTTGGTGATTGTTATTGACTTTATAAGAGGCCAAGTCAGTGCTCTACCTCACTTCACTGTGCTTACAAATCAGGATCGCTATAGGACATAATGGGTTAATTTCTTCCATCATCTGATTTTGGCTTAAGTACCTGAGTGATAACACAGAACTGCACTCATTCCAGTTCTCCTTGTGCTGAAAGTTCTGTGATTCATGCTGCCATTGCAGTAATAATACTTATCTGGACTGCCTTCCCTGTAAACCCTATTCTTTATAGGTTATGTGTAGTAAATTATGAAAGTGTTATTGTTCAGTGTTTCTCAGTGACCAGATATCAAAGAACATGGAAAAGCATCATGACTTGAAATTAACTTATATTCTCTGGCATTCTCATAAAAACAAAACAGTGCATATATGACATATAGTGGGACAGCTTTACTTTTAATTTTTTTTAATATAATCTACAAGGCCATCTCCATCACTTCAACAGTTGGTATCGTTCTCTTCTTCCTTTTGGATGGTAATGAAACGACTTCTGAGGAATATGAACAGTTGGCATCCTTGACATGGGTTCAGTTTGTTGTAGCTGTTTTCTAGTCAAGGTCCGGCACTCACTGCTGTGAAGAAGACATGGTACAGACAGGCCTTTTAAAATTTCATTACTATTTCCTGATTTATACAGTCATGCCAATTATATAGATAATATAGATAAACCTTTGTAATTTGTTCTGTATATCGAAATTTCTGTTACTGCCTAGTTGAAAACCTACATAATTGAAATTCATAATTTGTTTGACTGTGGAGATGGCTGTCTTCTAGCTTCTTGTGCCATCAGGGTGATGACTCATCACCCTGATGATGAAGGATGCAAGGACCTCTGAAACATTCGTAAACTTCTACTTGACTACACAACAACCCAGAAAACAACCATCTTCAGACTCGCTGCCATGAATACCGCAAATCCTACTTTTTTTTTACTGTATTATTATTCATTCCTGTTTTTGTGCAAATAATTTATTTTCCTTTCTTGGCCAAGATTTTTTTCCTTCAAGTGGAAATAGTCAAATTATACTTGAAGTGACACGGATTTTTACAAAGAATCCTCTGAAGCAGTTAAAATCATTTGGTCATCTGCAAATAAGATTGTCATCAACAGTTTCCTTTTAAAAAAAAATCGGTATCTTTCTTCCATTCTATTATGGCATGGTAAGATTAAAACGAATGGGTTATAATTGGCATAAATGGCTTACTTGGTTAATTAAAAACTTTTCTGTTATTTCTTCCATCTCCAATCTCAGTGATAAAGTTTGTTCTAAAACAGACTGGATTATTTGTATGAGATGTCGTAGAAAGCCTTTCATGCGTTTTCCACAATATAATCTTGTTTAACATGTCAAAGGCTTTTATGTAAACTACAAGGGCAATATAAACTTGGAAGACTTAATTATGCATTAACCTTCATTTCCTGTGTCGTAAAGACGGAGTCGAAACATAGTTTAATACCAATTATTACCACCAGATCGCTTGTACAGTAGTTTCATTACAGATGCCGATAGATGGCAGAAGAATTTATGTTTGACATTATAGACCACGTGCATTGCCAACTTTTAACATTGAGTTGCTGATCTACATGTGGATGTTATTTCTAGTGGCAGTGGTGTTGCTCTCACCGATTTAATAAGTTTAAGTGCTGAGGGAATCATTTAAATATACAAGGAAGTGAGTACGTAATAGGAGGTTGCAGAACGAGAGAGCTGAACTTCACCATGATCGTATTGTTTCCACTAAACACGAATTGGAGGTGAGTTAGGATTTTCGGGAGCCTCTTTCCCAAAACTCTCTCTTCAAGACGTCATCCTCCAATAAAACAATAATATGCCGGCTCGCAGCGTTCTTTCTCATCGAGAACAAAACGTCTTTTCAAACTTGCAGGAAGAACATAAAATTATTTGCATTCCAACAGTCAGAAACTGACACTAGAAATTTTACAGTTAATTTGTACATAAATTTGTGTAAATATATGCATTTTATAAATGAATTTAAGGGCAGAAATGTTGACAAAGTGGAAAACAGTCGTAGTAAACTATTTTAAATGCATATTCTGGACCTGTCGTTGAGAAGAGCGTGTTTGCTTCTTTAGTTTGTAAATCTGTTTCATATCATGAGTGCTGCTAGAGTGTTGAGTCACAAGCCGCGACAGGTGACTGAACCATTTCTTCCGCCATCTCTGCTCTCATCCTCAGGGCAGATGCGAAACGAAACTGGTCCTATGTAGCGATCTCGCCGATGGGAACTGTTTCTGGATTTTGGTTTCTCTTGCATTGTCAATTTTGTGCATCGATTCTGTAGCAAATAGAATGAGATCATGAACTGCAAATTTTATCACATTTGGGCTTGTCTACTCCTGAAATAGTCTGCCTCAAAATTTAATTTTTGCATTTCCCTGAAAACTTGTTTCGTTTGTGAATGCTGTTTTATTCAATTTTCGTCTTGGACTGCCCCTGTAGTGAGCCATGGTTCGGAGTGACCTATCTTCCCCATCTCCGCGATCTTTGGAGCCACAGGCTTCGATGCCCTTACGAGGCAGTGCGACGGGCAGTCTGTGTGTGTTCGCCGGAGAGAGAAAGTCTGAAGAATAAATTTTAATGCCTGTTGTGAGCTACGTCTAATCTTTTGTTTGATTTTGGTCAGAACGCTGGCCTTGTAATCCTGGGGTCTCGGGTTCGATTCCCGGCGGTGCCCGAATTTATAACTTGTGTTGGGCAAGGCCGTGGTCTAGGCAACACGGAGTTTTCCTCCGGGGGCTTCCCCGGTTTCTCCGTGGCATCCCAACAATTACTCCATGCACACACAGAAGAAGGCAATGGCAAACCACGTCTGGATCATCTGCCAAGAACGTACATGAACAGGTCCCAGTCCGAGAAAAGGAAGGAAGGATCCTGTTCATATGGACCTATCGCGAGAAAAACAAACAAACAAACATTGGCCTTGTAATCCTGGGGTCTCGGGTTCGATTCCCGGCGGTGCCCGAATTTATAACTTGTGTTGGGCAAGGCCGTGGTCTAGGCAACACGGAGTTTTCCTCCGTGGCATCCCAACAATTACTCCATTCACACACAGAAGAAGGCAATGGCAAACCACTTTTGGATCATCTGCCAAGAACGTATATGAACAGGTCCCTATCAGAGGGAACTTGTTCATAATGTCACCAGGAGTCTGCTCCGACACGATGATACAAAATAAAAAAACAGCCGAAGCCTGAGCAGAGTGAGTTTTGTTTGACTTCTTCCTGATGAAGACCCCGAGTCTGAAGAAGCAGCTGACTTTTCTGACTCCGAGCTCGCCTGGGCACTGTGAGGTAATCTTAAAGCTGTACACGTCAGAACACATGAAAGCCTGTCTTCTGTTGTTCGTTCAGTGGTTGAGGAACGAATGATTTTAGGATCGGTCGTCACTCACCGTGAAATCTTGCGCATGCGCGTATATCGAATTCCTAGCAGCGATGTTCTTTTCGTCGGTGTGGACAATAGATGGCTCTAGCAGACAAAATCAGGGTTGAGTAGAAATTGTGCAGAGGCAGTGGGCTTGTCACTCACTACTTAAATGCACTATACGAGCAAGACGGGGCTAAGTAATTGTCTCGGAACGGAAAGTGGAAATTATTGAATGACTTCGCCATGTAATGTACAGTGTCTTACGTAGCTTGCCTATTTAAGTAGAGTGGACTGTGTAGATGTAGTTACTGATGGATGACTGTAGTTGAACTGTCTGACGATCAATACAAAACAGGATCCATCCCTTAAAACTTGAAAAATGTTAATTAATGGCTGGTGTAGAACCTAGAAAATCACGTAAAAGTCTGTTCATGAGTTCAGAGAGCTTAGCGTATCCATGTCAATACATGTTCTCATTAACTTCACTGTAAATAATCTAGAACATTCTGAAACTAATTCTGCTGTACACGGCGTAAACACAAGGACTAATAATCAGCTTCAAGAACAATTTTCTAACCTTTCATGTACTCAGAATAGTGCATATTTTGCAGGAATCAAAATTTCCTACAGTGTTTCGACAAGTCTTACAAGTCTTTTAAATAAAAAGGCACAGTTTAAAGTAGATTTAAAAAGGTACTTGATTACACAATTAATTACTCTGTCGATGAATTCTAACCTTCACAAATAAATCGTAATGTTCATTAAGGTCTTCTTGTCTTAATATAAGTGGGTAGTATAATTTACCTACTTTATGTTATAGGCGGATGCATTTGTGTGAACCCTTTGTTTGTAATATGTGAAATTTTATAATAATATGAATTTTGCTTGTTTTACGCAAAAGCAACTCGTCGTTGAAACTGAAGCAGTAACGTGTTTGGTTCATGTCTGAAAAACTTCATGATTATTTAAAATATTTGAGAGTGTTTCATCGTGAATCCTGAAGTACCACAACAGTTATACTAACGCAATTCCAGTATGCAGCCCCCCTGTTTCAAGATCATCATTATCTGCTTAGAACAAAGGTTTCAGATAGTTTCGTTTTCAACATAATCTTTAGCATGAAAAGCTACGATTAATTATGTCTACAAAAATAAGAGTTGTGTGTTTTAAGCAGGGCTGTGAGTTCGACTCCTTCATAAAAGCTCAATATGTAATAATAAAGAGATATCATCACCACCACGTAAATCATCAGGCTACTTTTTAGAATTATAACCTGTTTATTTATTATTTTTTATTTAGTGTTCTGTCTGACGACAGGTCCATATGAACAGGATTCTTCCATCCTTTTCTCGGACTGGGACCTGTTCATATACGTTCTTGGCAGATGATCCAGAAGTGGTTTGCCATTGCCTTCCTCTGAGTGTGAATGGAGTAATTGTTGGGATACCACGGAGAAACCGGGGAAGCCCCTTTTAGTGTTCTGTCTGAGGACAGGTCCATATGAACAGGATCCTTCCATCCTTTTTTCGGACTGGGACCTGTTCATATACGTTCTTGGCAGATGATCCAGAAGTGGTTTGCCATTGCCTTCTTCTGTGTGTGAATGGAGTAATTGTTGGGATGCCACGGAGAAACCGGGGAAGCCTAGACCACGGCCTTGCCCAACACAAGTTATAAAGTTCCCTTATGCGTTACGTGCCCCACCCGTCAAATTTTCCTTAATTTGACCATCATGATAATATTTGCTGAAGATTAAAAGCTCTGCAGCTCCTCATTACGTAGTTTTCTCCAGTCCCCTGTAACTTCATCACTTTTGCGTACAAACATTATCTTCAGCACACTGTTTCCTGTGTGTGCTTTACGATCGTCATATTTTTTTGTTTTTGTTTACGAAGTTGGACACACGAGGCGCTCAAGTTCGTCGTGATAAAGCGATGCTCAGTTCAGTGGACTCCAGTGGAAACAGACTTTTCGATCGAGAAAGTAATTTCGATGTTCGATTTGATGTGTCTACGATCGATTCTAACAGTGAGAAACCTCGTCGTTATCAGAACTTCGCGACATAACATTCACGAGGTGCCGGAACGACCATATGAAATCCTGACTCCTTAATTGTTTTGAGGAGTTTACTTTGAAGTAATATCAGATAGTTGGTGCAGGGATTTTTGGAAAAATCCTGTGACGCAGTTAAAATACTTGGTCGTCTGCAGATAGCAGTGTTGTCAACAGTTTATTTATTAAGAAATTCGTAATTTAGTGCCATTCTGTAATAGCATCGTCTAAACAATTTTTTAAAAAGAATGACCAATGATAATGTCGTATTCCTTGGGTAATTAGAATTTTTAAGATATTAAAAAATACATATAATGGGACTGAATTAAAAATAGAATTACTAACCAAGGAGTGAGACCGGGGGTTAGCTAGTCCCCGACGCTTTTTAATAAAAATAGGCGTATGGACGATAGGGTTTGTCGGTTTTTAAAAACCGGGTTTAGAAACCGGTTTTTTGGATAAATTTGTAAAATTCGAAAACCGGTTTTTAAAATTTAAAAGACCGGTTTTAGATACTAGAATTAATATGAAAAAATTAGTTGATTAATTAAAAACGTTAATATTTTGACTTGAAATCGCCTCGGGCACAAGAATATTGTAGTAAAACTAATCTTCATGAGTCAGGCGAATGTTTTACATGCAAATCCACAAACGCGTTCTATTTCTAATTTCGTGAAAAAGGGCAGTTTAGACGTAATGTAACCGTCCCTTTCCTTCCACCTCACGTCACACTACTTGTTTAGTATACTCGTAGTCGTAGCCTGGTTTGCTCATATGGTTACAGCTTCTTGACGTGGGATGTGTAAAGATACAGAAAGGGATTGTTGATCATGGTGTGATGTTGTCGGTGAGCACGAGTTTCCGACTCCCTGGGAATATACGGGAATTCGAAGGTGGAGCAGGTTTCTGCACAAATGGACGACAAAGTCTTTCTGTGTTGCACTGATCGACGACACTTTATTTTTCCTTAATACGCGCAGGAACATATATATCTTAAGCACTATTCACGGAGGCAGCTGGATGGCTCGGCTGTTCCTTTGTTCCTTCGTACGTTTGTTAAGAAAAACACCCCCGCTCAACCGAAGGACCAAAACTTTTTGAGGGCGCCCCGCAACCACGGTCGCCCTTAAATACCCCTGCATTACGTAATTTGTCATTGAATTTGGCTTAACAGCTGCAACCTGATTCGTTCCTCCACAACGGCGGGAACGCGCCTTAAGCTGAGCTCAAAGTCAATTGGTCCATCGCAATGATGCGATGGTCGTAATGCAGTCTTCACCCCACATCTGGAAGGCGTGCATTCCAACTCTGGGGTGGCTTAAGTATTTTGTTTGTTGGTTTATGTTTGGCTTTTTTCAACGCCAGGCTCCCCTTGGGACAGAAGGAAGGCCGAGGAGGGTGACCCGCAAGTGGCCATGTGGGGCCACATTCCTTCAACTTAACATGTTTAACAAAGCCAAAATTAAGCATTCAGTCTAATTTAGGTGAAGTAAGGCGTTCCAAAAATCATGTAATTACACCTTCTTCGGTTTTCTTATAAGCCAGATCAACATGCCGAAGCCTGGTTTACCTTTCATCTCAAGGCTCAGTCCGTTCGGGAATTGAACCACAGACCTGGACTGGCACAGTAATTATAGCAAAACTTGCTGCAATGGATGGATTGTCCATTAATAGCATTACAACAAGCTCGTTCATACTAGAGTCTTTGCAACAACGGGGATGTTCATTACCAAAAAACAACTCTCGAGTAATGGATCTCATTCATGTGTTTTATGACAATGCCAAATGTGAAATTATAAATGAATTGGATTGTATTAAGAAGAATGGGAAAAAATTCTCTATAAATTTAGATGAGTGGACTATGAAAAATAAATCGCAGATATTTGAATAATAACGTACACCATTTTGTGGAAGATTTTAATTTGGGCTCAGTTCCAATAGCTAGTTCCTGCGATTCTAAGAAAACATTAGAATTAGTTTCTGAGAGGCTACAAATTTTTAACTTGGATCTAGCAACCGACATAATTTATAATTCATATTTTGTACGGATTTTAGTTATTTTAGTTTTTTATTTGATTTTGTATAGAGTATATTTTATTTTGTTATATTTTTGTAGTTTTATAAATATTAAATAAACTGAAAAAATCTAAAATAAGTATAAATATTTTTTTAATGTTTTAACTATATTTTGTTTTGTTTTTTTGTAAAAAATTTGAAAACCGGTTTAACCGGTTTTTTTGGAAATACTGAAATTCGAAAACCGGTTTTTTCAAAAGTCGGTTTTTGTATAAACCCTATGGACGATGTTTAAAGAGAATAAATTCACGTATTAAATTAACTGGTAAGATCACAGTTTATATGCCGAGCTCTGCCGATGATATGGTGATAACTGCCAAGATAGCAAGAATAACTTGCAGAAAAGCGTCCATGAAAGACAACAAATTGAGCAATATTTACAATTGTAAAACCCCAACCACAGAAACAAAGTTTACGGATTTTCGAGGAAAATTCCCAGTTGGATAGAAAAATAATTCAGTCATAGAGCGAGTTTCTGGATTCAAATATTTGGGCCGAGATTTTTCGTATAAACATAACGAAGATTTAAATAAGAAAATAAATAAATTTCAAGATATACTTGGGACAATTTGGAGAACGTTGAAACGAAAAAAAAAACTATTAAAGAGAAAAATTAAAAGCAGAATTTGATAATTTTTTTCAAACTTTTTTAAATTCTGGAACTCACTCATATCGATTCGGAGACCGTAAAATTATAAATGAAAACGATCGATTGAAACACTGTGACAGTTCATTAAGAATTTTAATAAATTTGGCCCTAGCAAGTCCAAACAAGTTTTACAGATTTCTCGAGAATTTTCTTTAGACATCAGTGAAATGCTTTTCGTGAGCAATCTGCCAAAATCAAGTTTATTTTCTGTTACGATTTGCATGTGCCCCTCTGAGTCTTCGTCAGTAAGATTCATCCAAGTTCTTAATTTGACCACCGTCATGAATAATTTCTGTCGCTACTGAATATACATTAATAATCGTCTTATCAAATGTCAGATTATCTATTTTTTTATTTCATTTTCCACAGTGTCATGATGTTGCAATGTTTTCGCCTGCCGCGGATTCAAAACCCCCGTGAAAAAGTAAACATATCTTTGTTTTCTGTGGCGTGTAACGCCTTGGATCGCGTGAACAATCAGATCGTTGAAAGAACGTATGCCCTTCTTCCGTTAACCCTCCACCTTCTTCGTGTGGTGCGTGACTAAGCATGTGTCAGGTGTAACTTTACCTTTAATTTGCTATAAACTTTATTTAAATGAAGCAGGCCCGTGCCGTCAACAATTGTTTTGTACCGGAAAAAAGTTTTAATGTTCAACTGATCGTAATCTGTGATAAGTGTGTTTGGTATAAGCCGTATATCGATTGTGGGCGGCTGCCGCGAGCAATCGATACACGGCTTTATAGATTCGATATTATAGTAGCTGATTTACGCTACATCACATGTATGTGTGTATATAATTTTGTTATCCGCGTTTCTTTTTGTAATTATTCTCTCAGTCTGCATTTTAAATCGTGGGCATTCTAACAAATATAAAGAGATAATAAATTAGAAAGAAACGGGAAGGGAGAGTGGGGACGCGTCATCTATTGGTGACTTGCTGGTTCAGCATGTGACCACTAGGAGCGCGGAATGTTGCTTCTTCATTCGTCTGCTATGCTCAGTTGTTCTTCTGAAGTGCATCGGTGAGGTACGTTAGTTCGTGGCGGTGAGGTGTTTCAGATTAGAAAATATAATTAATCATTCGTGATTCTAAAATACGGTGACAGAAACTTCACTTCTTACAACCAGATGGACCTGACTGACGCGTGATTGGTGCTTTATAAGTGAGTAATGTACTGAATTCATTAAACTTTACCGCTATATATTTTTAAACAAATGGGTTTCAAAGTGCTAACTATTTAATATTTACACTGTGTATTGCTTAATTACCTCTGTGTCTTGAAACTAAGTTAACTGATCAATTCTGACATCGTGTCAATTCTTAAATTTTGTGAACTTGGTGTACAGATTCTAACCTCAACATATTTATGGATTAACTCGCTATAATCTATTATTTTTATTGCCTAGATTAATGTTTTGTTCAACTTAATTATTTTTCTAAGTTGATGGGCGTATACATTTCGGGCGTTTAACTTACTTCGGTATTCCTGTGAGATTTCTTAAATGTTTTTACGTAATATTGTTACGACAATTATATCAAAACAGAATGCAGCTATTTAAGCAAATATGCAGTGCATTGCTGTGGTCAGATTTCGTAGGTAACAGCAGTTACTTACAGATTAGTTAAAAATTTTGACAGTAGGAATATATAATCTGTTGGGCCCAATCGATAGAATTAAGGTCCGGAGATAGGGATTAGCTCTATCGATTGGACTCAACAGAGTAGGTATTACTGAAGATGGAGATAGAGTCCCATCTCCGAAACGTCGTGCAATTTTATTGTTTTATTAGAAGATTGAAAATATCCAGAAAACTTTTTATTTTAAGCACGCAGACGTAACATTTGTTTGAGAATACCGATGGGTCGTCACTGCCTCAGGTTCGAGCCAAAGTTTTTGGCAGTCAGGATAGCAGAAACGTCCTTCAAAGTTTACGCGGTTGCTGTAATCTCCTGCCGTCTCTTCTCAAACGTATGAACACGGTTTAAGCTCTCTCTGACCTCGTCTGTATGCGACTCCCTTACATAAAACATTCATCTGAACAGTCAACATTTGCAACGTAAGTCATCAGTGCTAAAGCAGTTCACTGCCACTTCGATTAAATAAAGAGTTGCCTATTCAATCTCGTGAAGTTTTGTTGACATGGGGTGTCGCACGCAGACCCAGGTTATGACGAAAGGCGACTTAAATACAACAGCAAAACTTAGTTGTTAAAACATGTCCTTCTCGAGTCATGCAAGATCTGTAAATTTTTGTGTTGGTTTTCAGATTTAGTCGATTAACAGAAAACAAATTCACGTTTACCAAACCGTTAAAGAGTTTCAGGGCTGCGTAAATTTACTGCGTTATACGCCATACGTGGCCCCATTTATCTGATTACATGCATTAAACACAAAGATTTCATAATTATTATTATTAGAGTTGCTAATATTATATCAAGAGGAACCCAGAAGTTTTACTAGAGGCTGGTAGACAAGTGGGGCTGGAAGTAAATTCAGAAAAAACTAAGTACATGTTGGTATCTCGTCATCAGAAGACAGGCGGGCAAAATTGTCTTAGGGTGGCTAATAAATCCTTTGAAAGGGTTACAAAGTTCAAATATTTGGGAACAACAATAACAAATCAAAATGATACTTGTGAGGAAGTTAGGAGGAGACTAAATTCCGGAAATGCTTGCTACTTCTCAGTCCAAAATATTTTGTCTTCCCGTCTGATTTCTAAGAACCTGAAAATGAAAGTATACAAAACAATAATCTTGCCTGTTGTTTTGTATGGGTGCAAAACATGGTCTCTCACTCAGAGGGAAGAACACAGATTGCAGGTGTTTGAGAACAGGGTGTTGAGGAGGATATTTGGGCCTAGGAG